GCTTCTTGCTGGTTACTGTAACTAGTTGATTGACCGCGCGAAGGGAGGGGAGGCCCAAACGGAACTTTTAGGACCCCCTGGGCGCGTTGTCTGAATTGCTGGGGGGGCTCGAAATCGCCACCCCTCACGCAGATCCGCGGGGTCAGGGTCCAAAAACACATGGGATTTGCCAGATTTCTGAAATTCGGTGCCACCCCTCACGCAGATCCGCGGGGTCAGGGTCCAAAAACACAGGGGATTTGCCACATTTCTGAAATTCGGTGCCACCCCTCACGCAGATCCGCGGGGTCAGGGTCCAAAAACACATGGGATTTGCCACATTTCTGAAATTCGGTGCCACCCCTCACGCAGATCCGCGGGGTCAGGGTCCAAAAACACAGGGATTTGCCACATTTCTGAAATTCGGTGCCACCCCTCACGCAGATCCGCGGGGTCAGGGTCCAAAAACACATGGGATTTGCCACATTTCTGAAATTCGGTGCCACCCCTCACGCAGATCCGCGGGGTCAGGGTCCAAAAACACATGGGATTTGCCACATTTCTGAAATTCGGTGCCACCCCTCACGCAGATCCGCGGGGTCAGGGTCCAAAAACACATGGGATTTGCCACATTTCTGAAATTCGGTGCCACCCCTCACGCAGATCCGCGGGGTCAGGGTCCAAAAACACAGGGGATTTGCCACATTTCTGAAATTCGGTGCCACCCCTCACGCAGATCCGCGGGGTCAGGGTCCAAAAACACAGGGGATTTGCCACATTTCTGAAATTCGGTGCCACCCCTCACGCAGATCCGCGGGGTCAGGGTCCAAAAACACAGGGGATTTGCCACATTTCTGAAATTCGGTGCCACCCTCACGCACATCCATCGCAAGGCGTGGTAACCCAAACTGCGAGTACTCCCTCGGCCCTTTAATCCCAAGGTGTGGTAACCAAGCTCGTAAACCATACACGTCTTACCAATCGCCCTGTGTGGTAACCCCTCTTGTGATCAGTTGGTTTTGCCGATTGCGAATCGGCCTCGCATGAAGTTCCGATACTGCTGCACGACAGCGCCAAAGCCTCATGACTTAGCTCTTCCATGGCCCATTCTCCGAGAGAGGGGGCCGGCGGCAGGGGGCGAAGCCCTTACGGATATATATATATATATATTATATATATATAATAATATATATATATATATATACACATATAATGTATACACACATATTGCGGCCAACGCCGAGAGAGGAACACGTCCAGATAACTGTAGCATGCTAACTGGCACGCGATCGTATGAAAGCGTTCAGTATGGACATGGCTGTTGTTGTATTGGGAACTCCTGCTCACATAGTAATTAATATCGATGCACCTGCCCATGGCCCATCGTGATTTCAAAACATCTGATCCTGCTAGGGTTCGCTCCGTGTTTCTTACAAGGAAACATATAGCGCCTCCGATTGGCCCCCTGGCCCCCGCTTTACAATAACAACAACAACAACAACAACAACAACGAGAACGTCTCCCACCAGACACTTCCTCACAATGTATCCAAAATCGCGCTGGCGCGCGATACCATCACAATTTATCCAGGAATCGCGCTCTTGCCTGGTATTCGGACGCCGCGCTCCCGACGCACAAGAATCACTCTCTTGATCTAGCGTTTCTAACGGCTGACTTGATCGCGCAATCGCTCGAGACTTCGGGATTGATCCACGACTCACGCTTCAGCGACCCGCATTCTCGACCTGGCCACCTGGGCCTGCCTTCCCGACTTGCCCGTCAGGGTCTAGCCGCCGGGTCTGCCCGTCTGATTTTGCCATGTGGCTTCTGCTCCTAGCCCCCGATGTTGCTAATCTCTCTAGTGCTCCATCCTTCTCCCTCCCCATTGCCCTTCCTTCCATCCGTCTTCTGTTCCCCAGTGCTGTAGGGGATGCGCCAAGAACATGTGGCAGGTAAGGAAAAGATGTTACCATATGGGTGCGAGCGAAGACGGAGAGGGCGGTATGGAGGGTTCGGAGCATACGTCCCGAGTGACGCGCGAGCAGATAAGAGCGAACAATCGTGACATTATTGCGTCTGTTGTTGCTGTTGTTGTTGGAATCTCCTTTCTAAGGAATGTGAATTGCTGACCCCCCCTGCAGAGTGCCCGTTGTGTTTTTCAATAGAAGTGTTCCTCCCGGGACGCGCACCCTGTTTTCAACAAGGGAAGATCTTGAGCGTCAGATTTTGTTGCTGGCCCCTGGTTTACAACAACACCGGCTCCCGCCTGACACTTCCTCGCGATTGACTCAAAACTCGCGCTCTCGCGCGGGACCTCCGCAGAATGTATGCAGGAATCGCGCTCTCGCGTGGCACTTCCTCGAATTATTCGGACGCCGCGCCCTCGGCACTCAGAAATCATGTTCTCTCATTGGCACTTCTGCCAGGTTACTTGAGAATCGCGCCATCGCTCGAGCCTTCCTCGCGATTCATCCTGGAATCACGCTTCAGCAGCACGCCTGCTCGAACTCTTTTTTTTTGCCACAGACCTGTGCGAGACATCTGCGTCGATGGCTCAGGCTCAGTGCCGATCCGACTCGGCCCACGGCGCTGTGACACATCCAGGTCGCGATTTTTACCTGGAGAGCCGAACTGACACTTCCGCCGTGCCTTTGATGTATTGACACGCGCCCCCGACCCTCGCCAGAGGTCGCATTCCGTGAGAGCCGCAGCGACAGCGAGTCAAAACGATGGCCCAATCTAACTATGAGGCCATCAGATCACGCTATCACAGCGAACCTGCAACGCAGGCAGAATTCAAAGCGAGCGCGCTGCCGTGTGCCAGAAAGAGGCGTGAGGGACCATCGAATCAGACGACCAAGATGGAGGCCGTGGACTTGGCAACCGGAGCGATCCTCATCTGCTTGTTGCCGTAGTCGAAGACGCAATAATACTTCTTCATGAAGACGTCGCCCATGATCCACAGGGGCCCGCGCGGCGCTGGCACATCGATGCCCATCATCGCAAACAAACACGTGCCCCCTGCGTTGAGGACGTAGTCGCTGCCTTCGAGGACGAAGTCCTTGCCGCCGAGAGTGACGGTGAGGCTCGGGAGGCTGGCGGACTTGTTGCAGTCGATGGTCCACTCCTTGCCTGCGATAAGAGTCGCGCCCGCTTTCTTGGCAAGGGTGTCTACAACGTCCTTCGGGCCCGCGAGGAGGGACGTGCCGCTGTCGATTATCGCCTTCTGCGACGAGGCAACGCTCTCGCTGCCAAACGTCATTTTGTCAAGGCTAACCTCCCAATATGTCTCGCTGATCAATGGCACGTTGACGAGATCGCCCGTGAAGTGCGAATTGTCGATGCCACCGAACACGAGCTCGCCCTGAGCGGACGCATCGGACTGCAAATAGAATGCAAAGACCGGCTCGTCGACGAGCTTCTGAGCAATCATAGTTTCGAATGGTGTGGGGATGTTGTACTGTGAGATGCTTTTGAAACCGAGGCCGAGGAGTCCGTCGAACTTGCCAGCAGCGAAGGCTAAGTTCAGCGGTCCGAAGCTGACCGAGCTCACTTCAGCGAACAGCTGATCAGGCACCTTGACATCCCCGACCGTCACCGTGTCAGTGGCAAAGACGCCCTCAACTGGGCCCGAGCCATACTGCACACTGTACGTGCGGCCATCTGGCTTATACGTCGATGACTTGGTGGCGTCGTAGCGAGGGTGGAACCAACACGTGTGCCAGCTGCAATTCTTACCCGGCACCCACACGTTGGCGGAGCCCGTGTCGAAGATCACTTGGAACGTCTGCCCGCCAACCTGGATCGGTCCGAAGTACTGTGCGTTCTGGAAATCACTGATCGGCACGTCGTGCCCGTCTGAACCGAACAGCTGCTGCTCGGCCAGCTGCGGGACCTGAACAGACATTCCCTTCGCGATATCCCGCAAGCTGACCGTCTTCTCCACCGGCACGCGTACGATGCCGCCCTGGGCCACGGCAAGGAGAGCAGCCGAAACAAGCTTTGCCATCGTCCTGAACCTCGAACACGAGAATGAAGTTCTAGCGTACCGACAGTGTCGAGTAACGAGGACTTGAGGACTTGAGCAGAGACTTGAGCCAAAATGGCTACGGAGCACGCCTGCTCGAACTCTTGGGCCCGCCTTCCCGACCAGCCCAATAGGTTCTAGCCGCCCGCCCTGCCCGTCTCGTTGTGCTCTGTGTTTTCTACTCCTAGCCCCCCTGTTGCTAATCTCTCGAGTGCTCCATTGTTATCCCTTCCCCTTGGCCCTTCCTTCCATCAGTCTTCTGTTTCCCTGTATATAGGAAGTGCGCCAAGAACGCGTCGCAGAAAAGGAAGACATACCACCAAGGAGGGTACGAGCGAAGACGAGGAGGGCGGGTATCGAGGCCTTGGGATCTACTTGATGGGTGTTACGCGAACAGATAAGAACGAACAACATTAAACTGATTGTTGTTGTTATTGCTGTTGTTGTTGTTGCTGCTGTTGCGTTGTCGTCGTCCTCGCCTGCGACCTGTTTGCGACCCGCGCGTGTCCCTCCACGCGACCCATCCCGCGATCCACCCTCGACCCACCCGCGTCCCACCCGCAACCCACCCCGCGCCCGCCCCCTTTCTCTTATCCGCGATTGCGGGGCGTTGCGTACCCATTCTGTCCGTAGGCTCACGGCTACACGCAGGAGTGACCCTGGGCGAGAGCTACCTGATGTGCGCGGCCGTCAAGAAACCACGGGGAGGCCAGATCTAGGCGCACTGGGGGAACCCGTGTGGGCCCGCACCAAAGGTCTTTCCGGCGAAGGGCCACTTGTATAAGACGAAGCCAGGACGAGGATGAAATCGGTGAGGATAAATCGAACATCTCTGAGATCCGGCGCCTGTGGAGGATATCTCGGGCGCTGCGGCCTTTCTCAGAGCGTTCCGAAACGCTCTGAGAGCGTTCTGGATCGCTATGGGCAGGAGTTGTCCTCGTCCTAGCCCCGTCCGATCGCACGCGTCGCCGAGACCCTCTCGCCGCACCCGAGCCTCCGGCGTGGCGTCCGGCAGCGTCAGCTCGGCGGTGCGCCAGGCCGCGCAGTCGCTGTCGACGCTCTCGAGCCGCACGGCGCCGCCGGGGTCCATCGCGCCGAGCTCGGGCAGCGACCCGACGAGGCAGACCGCCTCTCTCAGACCACCCGCCCATGCCATCGTCTGTGGCCCTTGCGAATCGACGCTCGTCGACGCGAATCGACGGCAAGTCGACGCTACATCGACACTGAATCGGCTTTCATCGGCGCTTCCCCATCCAGAGGCTAGCGCGCGCTTGTACACTGGAAAGGCGGCATTGCGAGGACAGATAGGGCTCCCATGAGATACTACCGAGCCTCACTACCAAGACCCCATCGCGTCGCAAACAGGACACGACGGACAGTGCTTCGCTGTGTTAGGCCTCGGGGGGCCATCAATGGGCCTCGGGATGGTCAGGAAACGGAAACGACTCAGGATGAAAAGCCAGGGGTCCAGACCTCTGGGGGTCCACATTGCTCCTCCTCGGCCTCCCTACAATCCCCTTCACCAGATCTCAGACGATGTGATGGTTCAGGCTGAGCGATTCTCTTACTTGAACTGTGGCCTCTATGGCCCATTTCAGGGCCCGGGGGCCATCAAGCATGGATCCAAAGCTAACGACTACCCGAGAAAGGCGTCAGGACCTCTGGGGCTGCGGATCGAACAGCGGCTCTCCGAGGATCTCAGGATCCTCGTCTTTGCCCTCCCCCACCTCCTCGGAGCTCGAGGCTCGCGGCCTTCGTCCCGCGGGGCGGGTTCGGCGGTGCCGTCGCCCCCCCCCCCCCCACGCGCCACCATGTCGGTGAACGGAGGGGGGGCACGGAGGGAAAATGGCCCCTATCGTGGCTGGGCCGGCGAACGGGGCGGAGGAAAAGGAGGAACGCCGCGAACCGAGGGACCCAACGAGCGAGGGACAAGAAGGACACCTCCTCCCCCTCCTCCTCCTCCTCCTTCTCCTCCTCTTCCTCCTTCTCCTCTTCCTCCTCCTCCTGATCCTCCTCTTCTTTCTCCTCCTCCTCCTTCTCATCCTCCTCCTCCTTCTCCTCACCCCCTTCCAGGGCTCTCCGCGGGCTGAGTAGGGCCACGCTCGGGGTCAGGGGCCCGGGACCGGCAACTATTGTGTTGTGACCGCGGGCCGTCAGGAGCTCTGACGGCACGGAGAGCAGCCCCCGTGCAGCAAGTGGCAATACAAGGAATAGAAGACCAGGATGTGCCCCAGCAAAGAGGAAGCCAGGACGAGGATAAATTCGGGTGAGGAACAGTCGAGAATCTCTGAGGTCGGGCAGCTCTGGAGGATGTCTCGGGCGCGGCGGCCTTCTCAGAGCGTCTTGGAACGATCTGGGAATGTTCGGGGACGCTCTGGAACGGACTTATGATCGGCTCAGAGCAGCCCGAACAGCCTCGGCATGAGGGCAAGAGTCCTGGATTTGGGTGGGAACCTTCGGAGGACCTGCTCATGCCGAGAACTTTTTCTTGACGGTCCGATGCTAGGCATGAAATCCTCGTCGACCGTGGTTCATTATCTAAGAATGAAAACCTAGGCTCATCATCTGCAGATGATACCCTATGGATTATTGTTCTGTGAATGGATGGGGCTCAGGCCCCCCCCGGCCGAATAATCATCTTTCCGGGGTGATCAACCGAAGTTAAATATTCCAACATCATGAACCAAGGTTTATTTCAGGCCAGAGCGTACCCCCAAACGGCGTCCCCCAAACTCAATCATTATCACTCCAGAATAGTTAACCTGCGGTCAAACATCCGGGAACGTTAGGAATCCAGAAACCTCCTGGAGATAATAAACCGGGGTCAATATTCCGACATGAAAAACCTGGTGAGGAACCCGGGGGTTGGGGGGAAATGATGATTATTATCATTCCGGAGTGACGAGAACCGAGTTCGTTATTTCTGGGACATTGATCACTCCAGTTAATACTCCCGGAACATTATGAAGCAAGGCTGATATGTTTTGGGGGTCGATATCCCCAGAACATGAAAAAACCAAGGTTTATAATGTTCCGGGGGGAACATCCATGAACCCCAGTCAGTATGCCCAACACATTTAAACCCAGGTTCATAATGTTCCAAGCGAGACATGACCCGGGTCAATATTCCCAGAACGTTATAAACCCAGGTTCATATCTTTTTGAGGTGCATCCTGGACGGACCGGGAGGCCCGAGGAGGGCCCTGGAAAGCCGAGGACGGCGACACACCTCGGAGCCACTTTCCCTCAGGACCACCTCTCTCTCCATGGCACAAACTACACCTGGGCTGGCCAACCAGACGGCCTCGCCATAGGCCTGACGAGGCGGCAATGTCCGCCAAAAGACTGCGGCCCTGGCTGTGTTTTGGCCTTCATGGATCCGTGCAGGGACTGCTCGGTTCTCCTCTGGGAACTGGTGGGCCTGGACCCTGAGATCCGACGTAGCGAAAACGCTGCAACATCGCAACAAAAACTTGCCCAGAGCCGTAGACCCCATCTTTCCGCACCATTTTTCGAGCCGCACGAGTCTGTGAGGTCCCCGGGGCACGTAAAACATGCGAAACTGCCCGGCTCGAAAAAACTGAGACGCCAGGATCTCAGGGGGGGGTGTATCGGGCGCCGCGGCCCCAACAGATCTTTTTTAGATCTCCTGAGAGCCTTCGAAAGCATCCTGGAGCGGCCCACGTCCGTCTTGCAGGGCCTGCCTGACCCACCTGCTCTGGGTAGGGATATCGAGTACAGCATTGATTTACCCCACAAGTGGTTTCCCCGTCGAGTGTCCAAGCAAACACATGTAGCGTTCCTGGTTCTACGCGCGTTCTACGCATTGTTCGTAGCTTTGACGAGCCTATCAGTTTTGGGGCAAATCAGGTCTGTAGTCGATCCCCTACTCGACTTTTCCCAAGGACCGGGCTTTCATCACCTTCAGCGGTGCTTTGCCTGTCCGCGAGCGGCAAGGACTTCAGACCCGCCCCACAGGAAGCCGAACAGAGGGGGACAAAGAGGTGACGATACCGCTACTCTCGGGGGCTTCCAAGAGGGGGGCGTCCAAGAGGGGTGTGTGCAAACCATGGCCCGAGGCATGTGCGCGGCCCAGGGGGGGGGGCCGGGGACGTACTGAAAGAAGACGAGGCGCCATGAAATCTGCGGAGATATCATGACCCCCGCCATGATGTCTACTCCAGACTTCCTAATAAAAGGGAGGGGGTCTGGACCCTCCAAGACAGGCCATTTCAGACCCCCCCCGTGGGAGAACCCTCCAAAACACCGTCCCCAGACCCCCCCAGGCCCTCCAAGATAGCCTGGAAGAGACCCCCCCCAGAAATGAGACCCCCCTCCCTTGATTACGAAATCTGGAGTACCGCCCCCTGGCCATCACCCCGCCCCGTGGCCGCCCTCGATACCCCACGGACCTCTCCAGGGGTGCGGCCTGACCGAGATCTCACGGCGGCTCCCGCCGGGGCAACAGGGGCCTCCCCGGAGGCCCAGAAAGCCGAAAACGGTGAAAACGGTACCCCCCCCTCCTCGTCCTCTTCCTCCTCGTCCTCGTCCTCCATCTCCACCTCCTACTCCAGATTTCGTAATCAAGGGAGGGGGGTCTCATTTCGGGGGGGGTCTCTTCCAGGCCATCTTGGAGGGCCTGGGGGGGTCTGGGGACGATGTTTTGGAGGGTTCTCCCACGGGGGGGGGTCTGCAATAGCTTGTCTTGGAGGGTCCAGACCCCCTCCCTTTTATTACGAAATATGGAGTACCCCCCCCTCCAGAGGCCTCCCGGCTGGGGTCCGACCACGGGCCTCGGAGCCAATGGTGGGGCAGGTCACCTCGAAGACCACGCGGACGACCATGGCAGCGGGCGCCCTTCCGCGC